TCTTTCCCCACAGGGTACTAGAGGGATATACTGATCATTCTGCTCTTCTGGTACAAGTTACCTTTCATACCCCATTTGTTTTCTTGTGTTATTGAAAACTTTTGGTGGGATAGTTTGAAATCAGCTCACAGTGCTTTATAGAATATAGAGGATTCAAGTCCCCTGATCTATAAATCATCGGTTTTTAGAACATTTATTAAAAACCCTCTATTTAAATAGTTTTTGTGTGATTACAGTACTCACCAAGTAGTCAATTCCAATACTTGTGAAGCAGAATGAAGGAGAATTTAAGGGAAGAATTACAATATTATTTCTCTATGAATGTAATATTTAGGTTAAAACTCTTGGGAAAACTACCTGGATTCTAGTGGCTGCTGAAAAGTGATGATATCTTTTCATTAAGCCAAGTACTGTCTGCATTGTAAAGACCTTTATTTAGTCATTCACTGGGATGGGTTACTGAGAGTGTGAACTTATCAGCAATTTAAAAAATGGTTAGGTTTATATTTGGCTTGGATGAGTCAGAGGTCTCTCCTGGAAGCCAGAGTTCTAGGCTAAATGACTGTTCAGATATCTTCAGCTTCCACTGTAACCAGGAAAGATGGGGCCACAGAGGCATTTTAATAATGTCAGTCTTTATAGTTTACTTAGAAAAATGATATTCATTTGACCTGACCCACACAGAAGCGTTTTCCCCCATCACTGGGCACCTTTGGGAATGTTTACATGGCAGGACATCCCCTCGGGATACTGGACCTCAGTAGGACTGAACAGCAGTGGTTCTAAGAAGGAGAGAAATGCAGATAGTTTCCAGCAACAGGTATTTCTCTACACACACGGAGAGGCTGTGTAGGGGCAAGATGCTTGGCTCTCTTGTCAGCGGCAGAGGCGTCTGCCTTTCCAGCCCTCTCGACACTACATGCACAGTAGGTCTGGTGGCAGGCAGAAGTTCAGGTTAGTTTGCCTCTCTCTGTAACAGCCTTAACCAGGTTAGTTTGCCTCTCAGTAACAGCCTTAACGAGTGGCCTGGAGGTTTGCAAACCGTGAGTTTACATTCCCTCCCTTTCTTCTCTGCAAATGCAGATGTCTGACTCCACCCTTCACGCTTTCACATTCTCTTCCTCTATGCTGGGAGAAGAGGTGCAGCTCTATTTCATCATTCCCAAATCCAAGGAGAGTCATTTCGTCTTCAGCAAGCAAGGCAAACACCTGGAGAGCATGCGGCTGCCCCTGGTTTCAGACAAGGTGGGTGATAGCGTCTGGACACAAGGACTGACAGGCCTCAGGTATCAGATTAGGTTCTCTAAGCTTCTGATATCTAAGGGTCCTAATTTCTCTTTTTGGTCTCTGGTCCTTTCTTTCCCTTTTTCTTTTTCTCTTTCAGCAGAATTTGAATGCAGTCAAGAGCCCTATTTTCACTCCTTCCAGTGGTCGCCACGAGCACGGACTCCTAAACCTCTTTCACGCCATGGAGGGCATCAGCCACCTGCACCTACTGGTGGTTAAGGAGTATGAGATGCCGCTGTACCGCAAGTACTGGCCCAACCACATCATGCTGGTGCTTCCTGGCATGTTCAATAATGCAGGCGTGGGTAAGGGGGCCCCCAGATGGGGGGAAGGGCTGGAAAGATAAACTAAGCTCCATTCCCCAGGCATGAACTTTCAGAGGTTCCCCTGCCCCTGGATAGTGTCTTGCCCTGCAGACCAAAGGACTTTTCATTCCTCTTTAAATGAGTTTTCATTTCTCTTGATCTGCAGTTTTGCAGAATTTTTAACTTCTGAGGACTAGTAACCAAAGAAGTCACTGGTACGTTGAGCACCCTGGGAAGGACTGGGACTCTTCCCAGTACAGGCCGCACATGTCCCTTCCTGCAGGCTGGCAGCAGGAACATCACAGTGAGGAGAAGAGTCTGAGGAGGGGAGTTAGTAGTTCACAGTCCAGTCTGGAGGGATCTCTGAGGGGCATCACTAATCTTAAAGGCACACAGCAAGTTCTTGGGGGCTCTGTGCAGCTGGGGAATGGAAGCAGCATCACTGCCTACGGCAGTTATCTTAAAAGTGCCTGGAAGAAGTCTTTCCTGCTTTTCCCCAAGGAGTTTAAGAGCAATGGGCTGATTTCTCAGAGGCAGCACCTGGTTGCTGAGTGTATTGACAGAGCCGGGGAGGAACTGGAGAGAGTGGTCTAGAGCTCCTTCATTTCCCTCCTGAAGGCAGGAAACCTCCACATGGACCCAGTGTTCTAGAGCTCTAGTGTCTGGTCACTCCCTGCATCTAACTCACTTCCCATTGGCTTCTGTGGGTATCTCAGTGCAGAGTCTCAGAGGGCTGAGGATCAAGAGCTTTAGAGGAAGAACATCCAGCCCAGAGCTGGAGTGAACACAGAAGAGACCCAAGTAGTGCCCTGGATCCACACAGGCCTTCTCTCCAGGTCTCTCTCTCCTTTTCTTCTTAGGTCTCTTCCTTTCTTGTTCTCCATTCCATTCCTTTTCATGTCCTTAAACTTTAGCCTTAATATGGGATTAAAATATTTTCCCAAACTGGTTTGTTTTGAATGCAATTTTATTTCCCATGTTTATCATAATATCAAATGACTTAGGACTTTCATATATTTCTGGTCCTTTATCCTCCCCCAAACAATATATCTCCAAACTATCTAAAATCTTTTTCTATATGCATATGACCCTCAAACTATACCTTTCTGTGTCTAACCTTTAGGAGAAAAAGTTCCCTCATCCCAGATCTGACTGAATTTGTTTAGTGCCAGTTTTGCCATTTTTGTAATAATCTGGGCAGAGAAACCAACATATATGCAAATAAACACAAATTAATTTTTTTTTTACTGTGGTAAAAAACCTCAAAATTTATCTTAGCCATTTTTAAGTGTTTGGTTCAGTAGTGTTCAGTATATTCACATTGTTATGCAACCAATCTCCAGAACTCTCTTCATCTTGCAAAGCTGAAACTCAGTACCATTAAAGGCTAACTCCTCATTTTTGTTATCCATTCACCCACTGAGGGACCCTTAGTCTGCTCCTCACCTTTTGATTGTTGTGAATAATGCTACTATGAACATGAACACAAATCTCTTCAAAACTCTGCTTCCAATTCTTTTGGGTATATACCCAAAAGTAGAATTGCTTAATCACGTGGTAATGCCGTTTTTTTTTTTTTTTTTTTTTTGGAATTGGCATGTTGTTTTTCATAATGTCTATACCATTTTACATTCCTACCAACAATGCAAAATGGTTCCAGTTTTAACACATCTTTGCCAACACTTGCTTTTTCTGGGTATTTTTGATGTCGTTCGTAGGCATCCTAATGGGTAAGATGGTATCTTATTGTGATTTGATTTGCATTTTCCTAATGATTAGTGATGTTGATCATCTTTTCATTTGCTTGTTGGCTATTTGTATATCTTCTTTGGAGAATCTATTTTTTAGCAAAGTTTTTATTGTTGTTGACTTGTAGGAGTTCTTTATATATTCTAGATATTAACCCGTTATCAGATAAGGTTTGTAAATATTTTCTCCCATTCCATAGGTTGCCTTTTCACTGTTGATTGCATTCTTTGTGCAGAAATTTTAAATTTTTATGTAGTCCAGCTTTTTTCTCTTGTTGCCTATGCTTTTGGTGTCATATCCAAGAAATCACTGCCCAAACCAACATCATCAAGCTTTCCCCCATGTTTTCCTCTAAGTTTTATAGTTTTAGCTCTTTGATCCATTTTGATTTTTTAATATAGTATAAGGTAAGGGTCCAACTTCATCCTTTTGCATGTGGATATCCAGTTTTCCCAACATTATTTGTTGAAGAAACTATCCTTTATCCATTGAATGGTCTTGAGATTCTTGTCAAAAATCATTTGACCATATATGCAAGTGTATGTTTCTAGGCTCTATATTCTTATTCCATTAGTCTATATGCCACTACTACACTGTTTTGATTACTCTAGTTTTGCAATCAGTCAAGTGTGAGACCTCCAACTTTGTTCTTTTCTCAAGATCGTTTTGGCCATTCAGAGCCCCTTGAGATTCCATGTGAATTTAAAGTTGGATTTTTCTATTTCTGGAAAAAAAAAACAAACCTGATATTTTGACAGGGATTGTATTAAATATGTGGATTGCTTTGTGTGATATTGACATCTTAACAATATTACATTTTGCAATCCATGAACATGGGATGTCTTCCCATTTATTTGTCTTTATTTCAGCAGTGTTTTTTACTTTTTAGTGTACAAGTCTTTTGCCTCCTTGGCTTAACATTTATTCCCAAGTATTGTATTTTTTTTTTTTTTTTTTGCGGTACGCAGGCCTCTCACTGTTGTGGCCTCTCCCATTGCAGAGCACAGGCCCTGGACACGCAGGCTCAATGGCCATGGCTCACAGGCCCAGCCGCCCCGCAGCATGTGGGATCTTCCCGGACCAGGGCATGAACCTGTGTCCCCTGCGTCGGCAGGCGGACTGTCAACCACTGCGCCACCAGGGAAGCCCTGTATTTCTTTTGATGCTATTGAAAATGGAACTTTTTAAAATTTCCCTTTTAGACTGTTTGTTGTTAGTATATAGAAACACAACTGATTTGTGTGTATTGTTTTTGTGTCTGCAACTTCGCTGAATTCATTTATTCTAAATGTGCATGTTATCTTTAGGGTTTTCTACATATAGGATCATGTCTGCAAAGAGATAATTTTACTTTCCAACTTGGGTGACTTTCATTTCATTTTCTTGTGTAATTGCTCTGGCTAGGATTTCCAGTACTATGTTAAGTAGAAGTGATAAGGTGGGCATCCTTGTCCTATTCTTGATCTTAAAGGAAAAGTTTTCAGTCTTTGAGCATTGAGTATGTTAGCTGTGGGCTTTTCATAGATGGTCCTTATGTTGAGAATGCAAACTGTTATACACAGTGCTATTGAAAGGTAGATTTTCCTAAATCCTAGTATTACCCTTGATCTATTCAAACTGTTTTCCTGGCTCCTTCATAGACATAATGGTTTTTTTTAGCCTCTTTATTTCATTATCATCTACATTGTGTTTCATTTTAGGGTGGCCCACTCATAAAACCTGGCTAATTCCTGATGATCATCATCTTAATAATCGCTAACACTCACTGAGTACTTACCAAGTGCTAGGCACTGTCCTGAGCACCAAACAGCAATCCTATGAAGTAGACATTATCATCGCCTTCTTACAGGTGGGGAAGCCTAGGCACAGGGGAGTTAACTTGTTCACTGTCACACAGCTAGAAAGCAGTGGAATCAGAATTCAAACCGAAGCAGCTTGGCTCCAGTCTTGTCTCTTACTTACTGAACCATATGCCTCTTACAAAAAAGCAGGCCTAGGGAAAGGATACCAGTTTCCAGAGTCTTCTTCAAAGACACTGCTGCCAGTTTCCTAAAGGTACCTAAAGCAGGGGACACATTAGTGTAAGTGGCATACCCACTACTGCAGCCCTGGTGGCTCCCGAGTGCAGGACATGCAAGTGGCTGCTGCTGAGAATCTAATCATGGCTCTAAGAAACCAGTAGTAAGTATCTCCTCTATGTGGTATCCTTTGTCCTATCAGGGAAGCTGGATTCTTGCAGTACTCCTCAAAGTGTAGTTCATGAGTCACCTGCAAAGACATCTCTGGTTTCTGGCCCCTCATCAGACTTACTAGAGTGAACCTCTGGTGGTGGGTTCTAGGAATCTGCATTTTAAACAGACTTCCTGGGTGATTCTTATCTACACTGATGGTTGAGAGTGATGTTCACTGCTCTGAACATTTGGTTGACCCCCATCCATGTGCATGGTCACCACGTGAACACGCATGCTTACGGAGAGCGTGTGAGCTGTGTGCAGGGCCTCAGCCAAGCCTGAGCGAAGGATGTACAAGCCTTGGTTGTGTTGCCTTTCAGGTGCTGCCAGGTTTCTTATTAAGGAGCTGTCATATCACAACCTGGAGCTGGAGAGGAACCGCTTGGAAGAGCTGGGAGTTAAACGCCAGTGTGTCTGGCCTTTCATCGTTGTAATGGATGACTCGTGTGTCCTATGGAACATTCACAGTGTTCAGGAGCAGAGCAGGTAGTGGTTCTTCCTACGCAGTTCTAGGAGTGTGACACAGTGTCATTGAGAAGACACTCTCCTTGGCTGTCATTGCACAGGGAAGTAAATAAGAGAGGTACAGCTTTCCAGAGCAAAACAGTCATCTGTGAGACTACTCTCACTAGCACATTTTGTGGTGGCTTAGGAATTTTTTAATTTAGACACTCAGCCTGCCATTAAATTCCTGGACCATTTGTGCATCACAGCTTAGGTTTGCTAAAAACGTCTGTTGAAAGACCCTATGGTTTATTTAAAAAGACCACTGGCTTCTGAATCAGGAGACCTGCTTTTTAGCCCCAGCTCTGCTTCCTAACTATCTGGATGAATAGGGAAAGTTACTTCACCTCGGTCTCAATTCATTATCACATATAAAATTATGGCTGGGCCCAAATTAGTGGTTCTCCTCCTGGGGCAGAGGTGACAGGAATCCATGAGGACCATGAAATGCTATGCCTGGAGCAGTCCTATGCAGTAAATGGCCCCGAATATTCACAGCCCCAGTGAAACACTGTGCCAGATGGTCTCTAGACCCTTCCAGCTCAGGCATTACGATTGTGTGCCCTTGTTTCCCCTGTGGATTTGAAGCCCGTGAAGTTTTCAAATATTCCTTTATTATTCCATAATTACCGGAACTGGGAAGTGTACTTGTGTGCTTCTAATCTCTGGCTACCTCTCTTTGGTGACTCCCTGTTCATTACTCACTTTGAAATGGGCTGGATTTCACTCTCTGCCTTTAAGTGATCAGCCCGGCCCACAGAAGGCTGCTTCCCTAGGTGAGCAGTGACAGGCAGCATGAAAACCGGGCTTGACATCCTTCTCCATTCCAGACTAACATAAAGTCAATCAGCTAATTGTATCCTTCAGGTATTAATACTGTACAGTGCGGTTAGCTCTTCAGAAGTGACCCTCTCTTCAGTAATAGTGGTGTCTTATGTAAACTAACTGTACATTTCGTAGCCAGCCCGTGGAAACAGGAGTTTCCAGTAAGAATGTGTCCTTGAAGAGTGTCTTGCAGCATATTGAAGCAACACCGAAAATCATCCACTACGCAATCCTGGGCATACAGAAATGGAGCAGCAAGCTGACTTCTCAGAGCCTGAAGGCCCCGTTCTCTAGATGCCACGTGCACGACTTCATTCTCCTCAACATAGACTTGACTCAGAATGTGCAGTATGACTTCAACAGGTAAGTCAGGCCTTCTGGATGTATGTGATCCTGGCATTTACTGATTGTTTCTGCCCAGGTCTAGCTTCAGCAATGTTTTTATTCCTGTCTCTGTGTCTTTGAGAAACTGAGACACTCTTTATTATTATTTATTTATTTTTGCGGTACACGGGCCTCTCACTGCTGTGGCCTCTTCCGTCACGGAGCACAGGCTCCGGACGCGCAGGCTCAGCGGCCATGGCTCACTGGCCCAGCCGCTCTGCGGCATGTGGGATCCTCCCGGACCGGGGCGCAAACCCGTGTCCCCTGCATCGGCAGGCGGACTCTCAATCACTACGCCACCAGGGAAGCCCGAGACTCTCTTTATATGGACAGAGAAAGGGGGATCATTAAGCCCCAAAGTGCCCCTTCATCACCCTTCAAACTGACCCAGACACTTAATGATAGGTGCTGCAACATGAAATGCTTAGAAAACATATTTTGGCCATCTTATTATTCAGCAAAAACTGAAACAGGGACAAAACTTTTTATCAACAGAAATCGGTGTGTGGACCTGTAAACCTATTCAAGATTAACCTTTCATTTACCCTCAGAACTCAGAAGGTAATCTCTTCCCCAGATGTTAGCAAGACCCTGAGACCTGGATCCTTTAGGGAAAAGTCAGCTAGCCCTGGCCTTGCCTCCTGAACAAATTATGCCCACATCTTGGAAAATCTGAAATGGCCAAGGAAGAATGTCAGAGACCATAAAGTCCCTCTTATGTCAACCCCCAACCCTATAGCTATTAGAACATTCTGTAGCTATTTCACTACTGTGTTTTAAATTTGGCAGATGCTTTATCCTGTTTACAGCCAGGATTTTAAAACCAGGAGCAGCTCTGCAGTCCGGTCCCACAAGAGTATACAGAATGTGCGCTCGTATTTCAGTTCAGGAATGCAGGGCGCTGTGGAATGTCTGGGAACAGTCACCTCACTTCCTCCTTCCTTAGTGGCTGTTAATGCCCAAATCAAGAGGTTCACAGGCCAGTGTCAAGAGAGCCAGCTCCATGAGGGGGAAAGGTTGATTTTGTTTGAGGCTGTCTCCCAGTAGCTGCCACACATTTCTCTGTGTTTAACTATCATAGTTGAGATGTGACAGGTAGTCAAGGAAACCTATCGTTGTGATTATAATTTAGGTATTTCTGTGAAGATGTTGACTTTAACCTGAGAACGAACAGTAGTGGCCTGCTCATCTGCCGCTTTAATAACTTCAGTCTCATGAAGAAACATGTTCAGGTTGGAGGGCAAAGGGACTTTATCATTAAACCAAAGATCATGGTAAGTTTGCAAGCTTGAGTCTACTTTTGAAAATAAGATGATCTTTCATTAATATCTTTGTTATCAGGTACTGGCATTAAGCACTTGCCACTTGATTGGAAAGTAACACAAGGGAGTCTGTTCTTAATGTCAAATCTGCACTCTTGTTTCCCTTACTGAGGACTCATCCAGAGCCAAACATAAGTTTTGAAAATTCAACAAAACTACCTTTCTTTAGATTTAAGGCTTAATTCCATCAAAGCTTTAGTTTCAAACGTCTTCTATATTCTTAAACTGGCAAAGTTAACATTTTTACATTCTTTATGTAACACATGAAAGAAGTGAACATCAAGCTGCTCGCATGGTCCTTTGCCAGTCTTTTTTTTTTAAAGTAAGGCAGATCAAAACCTGTTAAGGGTTAATTCCATGGGCCTACCCTTTTCTGTTTAAGAGATTTACTGGTATCTAATCATTTTTAGCATGTGGACTCCCCAGTGGAGCTTAGAAATCTCTTTGCTTTTTTTTTTTTTTTTGTGGATTTTAACCCATCTACATCCAGCAACGCTATAAAAGGCTTCCTGTTGGTTCTTACAGTGTACATGCTAAATGCACTAACTTTCAAAGAAGCCTACTTTTGCATTTGCTCCTGCCCTTGCTATGTATAAATTATGTTAAATCCAACTGCACTATTTCCAAGGGAAAAAAATTTCAGAACCCGAGAATGACAGACTTACATTTGAGCCTGATATCTGTCTCTGTGCTGCTATTACTTGCGGATTGTTCAGATGCAATGCAGTGCTTTCCTTGCCAGTTTCACATAGTGACAGACCCATTTCCCATGATCATCTTGGCTCTGATTTCAGGTGTCAGAGAGCTTAGCACCCATCTTGCCCCTTCAGTATGTCTGTGCTCCCGACAGCGAACACACACTACTGGCAGCCCCTGCACAGTTTCTCCTGGAGAAGTTCCTTCAGCACGCCTCATACAAACTCTTCCCCAAAGCTATCCATAACTTCAGGAGTCCCGTGTTGGCCATCGACTGCTACCTTAACATTGGACCAGAGGTAAAGGGGAAGGGGCTGATACTCTTATTAGAGAGAGGGGCTTGTTTTGCTTCTATTAATTTCTCTCATAACTGTCCTTTATTATGAGAAATAAAGAAGCTTTAAATACGTTAAAACTTGACACACAAAATAAAGGGAGTACAAAGCTTAACTAACCAGCCCATTGAAGTTTCCATTAAAAAAAGTGGGAATTCCCTGCACTCCAGTGGTTAGCACTCTGCACTTCCACTGCAGGGGCCACGGGTTCAATCCCTGGTGGGGGAGCTAGGATCCCGCGTGCCGGGTCAGGGGTGGGCGCGGAAGGTGTCTCCCTTACCTGACCCTGAGGTGGACACAGCTAAGAAGGAAGGCGCTACTTCCTTCAGCTGAAGATGCAGAGGTTTTGCTTGCTTTCGAAATGCTTGCGCTATCTCTGCTTGATGATTCCAGGTGGCCATATGCTACGTCAGCTCCAGACCCCACTCCAGCAATGTCAACTGTGAAGGGGTGTGTTTCAGTGGACTCCTCTTGTACCTCTGTGACTCTTTTGTAGGTGCTGATCTTCTTAAGAGATTTAAGTTTCTAAAAGGTAAATCAAATTTAGCATCTTGCTTGTGAATGCTATTAGTTCCCACTGGACAAAATACAGTGGGAAAGATATAAAAGAGCACTTTAACAATCATTTTGCCAGTAAATTAAATACCTTACTTTTAAACCAGGCCACTGATTTTTTAAATGGGGGAGTGTTAAGACTAAATGCAGATAAATATAGCCAGGTTTGTGACCATATTAAATATGTTTGCCACTAGTAATTTTAGAAAGGAATGATGCAATACAAGAAGTGATGCTTCTCATATAATCTAATTTTAATAAAAATCAGGTTGGGCTTCCCTGGTGGCACAGTGGTTGAGAGTCTGCCTGCCGATGCAGGGGACACGGGTTCGTGCCCGGTCCGGGAAGATCCCACATGCCGCGGAGCGGCTGGGCCCGTGAGCCATGGCCGCTGAGCCTGTGCGTCCGGAGCCTGTGCTCCGCAACGGGAGAGGCCACAGC